AGGGCCCAAAGGAAACTTTTTTTAGTTTTTTTATTTTTTTTTTTCTTTCTTTTTTCCTTTTTCTACTCTGCCCTGGAGTCCAAGGCTGCAAAACTTCTCACATGGTTCTGGGGTTGGTTGGTTTGTTTGCCTTAGTGGTAATTTAAGATGATTCATGCTCCTGGGTTTTCTGCTGTGCTTCCCCCCACCCCCTTCTCTTTCTGTCGGGGTGGTTTTTGCTTCTCAATTAAAACACTCCCCCTGCCCCCCCCCCCTCTCTTTCCAGAACCCCCATGCCTCGCAGTGGAAGGATCCAGCGCTGAGTCAGCTGATGTGCTTCTGCCGGGAGAGTCGCTACATGGATCAGTGGGTGCCAGTGATTAACCTCCCCGAGCGGTGACCGCGCCGGGATGAAAACGAACTGAACCAAATTGCACTGAAGTTTTGCAATACTTTAGCAGTTGCTCAGGAAATAACTCCCTGCCCTGGCACAAGGATTACAGGGGAGGGGGGGAGTAAAAAAAAAAAAACCAACAAAAAAAGAGAAAACTGATGTCAAGGGGGTAGGCTGAAGTTGAACTACATCTTGTGTGGGACTGAAGAAAAGTGACTCCGAAGCGATGGGGATGAGTGGAAGCGAAGGGAAGACCAGCACCTGCGTTGCCGGAGGAATGAGCCCTCCCTGACACGCGGGGGTGCCGCACTGCCGACTTACTTACAGAAAACACCCAACACCCTTCATGGTCTTTTAAAGTGCAACTTACAGTTTCTGGTTTAAATACCTTAAAGAGCAAAAAGGTTAATCGAAACATTTTACAATTTTATTGTATTTTTGGGATGTTAATTCTCAAGTTTTTATGCTAAGATATATAATAAGTTATTTTATGATATTGATGAAAAAATTATTTATATTCGGAGGTTTGAGAACCAGAATGCCCTTAAGCAGTTGGTCTGCAACCACACATCTTTTAACAGTTGGCTGTTAAAAGCAGCTACATTAATATAATTGTTTGAAATTGGATAGTGTTTTGTTTTTTGGGTTTTTGGTTTTAGTGTTTTGTTTTGTTTTTTTTTTTTTGAAATAAAAGTTTAAACTCAAACCCTCAGTCCTGGGTTTTATTGTCTTACCCTATTCATTAATGTACAGTCAAAAGGGCTCATTTGGCAGCTGCTTCCTTGTCCTGGCCATGGGCAAGGTCCTGTTGTGCTGGTCCGCTGTGGGTTTATTCCTAGCTCCTCCCATGCCATTAAATGAAAAAGCAGCTGATGTGCTGCAGGAAATGTTGGGAATGTTACTTATTTTTCTTGAATGCTGCCACTTAAGGGCAGAGTTTAAAAAAAAAAGGCATTATTTTAGAGGCTCCAACACTTCTGCAGAGCCTGGGTCTTCTTGGAAGGTGGGGAAGCCTGATTCCTCGTAGGTGGAAAACTTGACCTGATGTTTCCTTTTCCAGGAAGGTGTCTGTCCGAGCGTTGCACCACAGACTGCTGCAAACCCTCCTGGATTTGTTCCCTGTGCACCCCCAGCACTGCCTGTGCCCCCCAGAGTTAGGTGGTTTCTGTGCTAGGCTCCTCTTTTAATTACGTATCTACACTGGCACACAAAGCGCCATACTCCGTTGGCAGAAATCTCCAGGCCCCAAGAGAGCAGGAAAACAGCCTCCCTCACACCCACACTGCTTGCTGCTGGCAAAAGCCCTGTGCCGCCCACACTCCCTCCACCGTGCTGCCTGGGGGAGGCCGCAGGGACGCCAGTGACCTACATCGGGGCTTCCCTAATTGCACGTGTGTGCCGCACCCCAGTGCACTGCCTCCTGGCACCCGTCTCGGACGCCGCCCAGCTTGCTGGACCCCACAGCCCTTGTGTCCACCCCAGCAGTGGCAGCAGGGGGTCACTTTGTCCCCAGCCCCAGCAGGATCGGGTGCCAGCCCAGCCGGGTGGCGAGGCCAGACCAGTTCTCCCGCTCCCCAGACGCTCAGGATGGCACGCTCCGGCACGAGGCCGCCCATCCCCGTCCCGCACGGTGCTGCAGGGCCACATCACCTGCCCTGCAGCAGCCTCGCGCTGTGTTCAGCACGTAGCTCAGGAGCAGGAAGGCACCGTCCTCAGCCCCGAGGGACACGGGATGGCTGCAGGAGTGGGACTGCACAGGAGCAGCACTGCCATCAGCCCACGGCAGCATGCAGGGGCTCCTGCCCACCACAGCACGTGCCTGAGGAAAAAACACGTTGAGCCCCAGCAGCAGCCACCAACAAGGAGGTTAGGTCAGGCTCAGACATGGTAGCTGCACAAAATGGGAGTTTTCTGAACATAGTATTTTTAGCTTCATTACTATGGCATGTATTCAGCATCAGCATTTCAAAAGCAAATACACTCCCAAGAGTTGATCCACTGGCTGTTGCCTCCATTCACACATATTTAAAAAAATCCTCTTTCTGTTGCATGTTACTTTAGCAGCACAAATGTAAGATATTGAAGAAAAAGTTTAACCACATCTAACCATAAACACATACAAAGCCAGCTCTGGGGATCTTTTACCTTCCTTTGTTGTTGTATACCAGACGCTCTGTTGCTCTTCCCTAAGTGTGTAACAGAGAATGGGTGGATCAATCACATTTTTGGAATTAAAGTTAATTGCAAACATTTGCAATTTCATTGAGCTCAATCTTGAGCAGAACCCCCCCCGAACCCCTGGTTTCTCCTCGTGTCTCCCCCAGCCCCTGTCTCCACGCTACAAACCGCCTGGCCAGGACCCACGGGTGGCCCCAGGGGCACATGGCTCAGCACACACCCGTGCACCCAAACACTCTTTTTTTTTTTTGCCCCCCAAACCAACCAGCTCCAAGGGGGGGGGGGGTGTATCCCATCTGGATGCATGCCAAGCCCTCCCAAAAACACGCAGGCAAGAGGGGCCCTGATCCCCTGAGCAGCCGCAGCCAGAAAAGGCAAAGCCAGACCCGAGCTCAGCAGCGCCCACCCGCTGGGGAAGCACCGGCTGCCGGAATGGCGGGAAGGGCGCCAGGAGAGGTGGGAAGGGCATACAACACGTACCGGGAAGGACGTTAATTCTGATAACCAGCCAAAAGGAGGAGTAAGCAGCAGCTGCATGCGGCGATGGGACATCTTTGGACTGCAGAGCGGGGCCTGGAGAGCTGGGCTTGAGATCCTGCTCTGCCCTCTGATCACTGCACCCCTCGGTTAAAGTGGGTGCTGGTTTGGGGCTTAATTGCACTGCAGCCTCAAAACCAAAAACTATCAAGACAAGAGCGACAAGTTCAAGCAAAATCTGATTGTTTTTGGCAAAGCACAGGGTGAGGAGCAGCCTGGCCGGCCTGCTGGCTCCCCGGGCAATGGCTGCGCCTTGCACAGGGGACCACAGCCCCCAGGGGATGGCCCTGGGGAGGGACACCTGCACTTTGGGGATGGGGATGACGGCCCTGCACCTGGCACGCTGAGCTGAGCCAGATGAGGGATAGGTCAGGATTGCCTGGGGACAAAGGATGTGGGAAGTAATTAAAAAAAAAAAAAAATCACCTCCCCCCAAACAGAACCAAGGCTTTACCAGGGGTCTTTAATAAATCTAAACTTTTTTTTTTTTAAATAAAGACCACCCAGCTTCTGTCACTGCTCCAGGGCCAAGGTGTCCTGCAGCTCTCACCCCTGTGGCCATGCTCATCCAAATAACACCCCCCCAATGCCCAGAAGCATGTGAGCACAGCCCAGAAGAACTGTGAGCAGATCTTGTGGGATCTCTTTTTCCCCCTTTTAGCCCCATTGGTTTGATATGAACAGGTCCTACCTGAGACAAGATTTAAACATGACCTGCAAGCACGCTTGAGGGTCTCGGTAGGCGCACCCTGGCCATCCTACCTGGGGGTTGCAGAAGACCTGTCCTGCTGTCACCCAATGCTACAGGGACAGCCAGGTTCTTTTGGGGACATTTAGCAGATTATGAGGGGTCAGGAGCAGGGGGTACCGCTCACACCTGTACCAGGTCATCCCCATCCCAACCCCACCACCCCCCTTCCCATGGCAGAAACACCCAGCAATGCACCAGCGCAGCAGCAGCGAGCCCAACCTTTGCAGCTCACCAGCTCCAGGAGGCCAAGGACAATGAATGATGATAAGCCGGGAGCATAGAAAAAGCAGAAATATTTTAGCAAGAGGCTATTTTAGCAAAAGCCAGGTCTCCAAGCCACCAGCCAGCCCTTCCCCCTTTAATGCAACACAGCATTGAAGAGTCAAATTGGAAAATACAGAGAAAAACCACAAATAACAAGCTGGCTGCTTAATTTATGGGGGAAGAGAGAATAATACCCATTCTGGAGTGGTATTGGGTTCACTTGCTATAAAAGAGAGTGGCGGCACAGTGGGGCAACGCAGCTGTGCTGCCGCACCGCATCTCCCTGCCACCTCACCATGCCACCTCCATGGGCTTCCCCCAGCAGCTACGGATGCAGATGGTCTCACTTCTCCTTTTTCATTCTACTACAGCAGAACCTGTATTTCCCCCGAATTTTACAATTCCTGTTCTTTCATGGGAGTATTTTACAGCAAAATAGCAAAGTGCAAACGTAACTGCTCGAGCTTGTGCATGTCCCTATATATTGCATTTAAAAAAAATAAAATTTTACTGAAAATCTATACATTAAATGCTGTCAGAACCAGGCAGTTGCGTGCTGCTGGGTTAGCTGATGATCTCAAGTATTCCACCTAAAACTGAGAAAGCACCTGAAAAAAAACTGTCATAGTGTTTTTAATCCTATATCTGATCACTGATGCGACCACGGCCACCTACAATCAATCCTTTTGTTCTCTGGATGTGTAAGCAAGCGTGAAATAGATGCTGCCATAAATCTTGCCCCAGCACCGCAAGAACGTCAGAATTGCATGGAAGAAGTTGAAAAACTCGGCCACAGGGCTGGACAGAGCCACAGCCAGAGCCAGGGCACACTCGACATCGGCTTGTCAAGTGCCAGGGGGTTCGTAGGAGAGAAGTGACAGAGCGAGCCTGAGGAATGTGCCAGAAGCTCTTTATTAGAAAGTACAGAGTTAAGCTCCACTATGGACATGGCGGGATGGGTGGGAATGACAAGGAGGTGGCCACGCTCCAGCTCAGGGCAGAGTACTGGCCGGACCCCACAGCTGGATCACCAAGAGTCCCTGCTGCAGGCTTTATTTAAGGGCAGACAATAGAGAAAAGCCAGACATGAACAGCATCTCTGCAGCTTCACAGGTGATCTTTTCTTTGGGGGCAGGGAGCTCTAACAAAATAAAAATGCAGATTACTATGGGGACAACAGATTGATGGGAGAACAATATTCAGGCAACAGCATGAGGTTATTTACCCGCCCTGCGCCCCACGTACCTGCTTGCACACTTCTGAGCACAGCTGGAGTTCTCTCAACAGTCCTGCATACCCAAACTAAGTTAATTACTATTTTTAACAAGATGTGTTATAAAATGATAGACACAAACACAATAAAAAAAATTAGTGTGGATCTACATTATTGTTTTTTAAATTGTCACTAGAAAAATACTCTAATTATAAAAATAATTTGCATGTAAGCACAGAATAAGCAGTACAATTTTCTGTCTGTCTTGTATGTCGATTTTTGAATTCTTTGTTAAAGAGGCTTGTTAAACAAATATATAATTTCTCAATATATATCAATAGTGTGTATATAATTTAATATAGAAATGACAAATATGCAATGTAAGACAGTAAATTACAAGTGGTTAATAAATTCTGTAAATACCATTACAGAAATGCACAGTTATGGCAGATCGCAACTTCAACCTCTGAACCACTGGCTACAGAGAAAGACATTTGTAGCCAGCTGAAGTCAGTATTATTTTCAATCCCTTCAAAGTTTTCTGTTAATATGCAATGTTTGTATAAATATACTATTAAAGTTTTTTTATATATATATACACACACAGGCACACAGAGAAAGACTTTTTTATTATGTGTATATATAAAATCACTTACTTGAAAGGCCCTCCAATTATATCTGCATAACCACAATCTAGATATAATTTGGCATTCTTCCCCTTTAAAAATGAATTTAAAAGAGTCAAATTCTGACTCCCTGCACAAAATATAACTGGGACTTCGAGTGACACAACCATGCCTCCAGCTCAGCACAAAGCCAGGGCAGTACTAGCTTGCAGCCTTTGATTCTTTTGACAGGGTTTTTTTTTTATACTAACACAGATTTTTAATTAGAGAAGATAATTCAGAGAAGCAGAGTCAATGCTGAAAATTCTGCTTTTTCAACTCCTCCTAAAAAGCAGGGAAATAAATCCGCAGCTCTCTGATTCTTGACACTTCAGGTTTTACACTTAAAAAACGTCTGTCAAGAGAAGCCAACATAAGGAAGGATGCAGGCATGGCTCCCTGGAGTTCATCAGCAGTTGCTACAATCATTTTTCAAGGTAGCTTTTGCTAGATAATGCACTTCTAAATGTGTGCATAAACACATGCTACCAACACAGATACAGCCCCCCCCGCCCCCGCATACATAATTTAAAAAAATGTAAACCCCATGATGTTCAATCAGGTTTCTACACCTTTGCCTCCGCTCTGTCAGCGAAGCTCAGGCAACTTTGGTCTTGTTTGTGTAACGTGAAAAGTGAGACCGGGACCCACTCCTGCAGAGGACAAGACCCCCGGCTCGCCATGCCTGTCCCACCGCAGGGACGCCGGCGCAGCACCCGCAGGCTCGACGCCCAAGACCCCATTCCCTTGGACAAGAAAGAAGTTAATTCAGTTTGAAACCTCGCTTCCTAATAAAGATAGGGAACAGAAGAAATGCTTTAGAAAGCTTAAGAAATCGTTTATACGCTTGGTAAAAGAATGGCCGCTCTTACACAGTTAATAGCTAGTACCTTACAGAGTATTTGCCTATACGCCTGCCGGTGGCTGGCTTTGCCCAGGAGGGCTGCGGAGGAGCTGCCGCTCTCCTATAACAAAATGCAGGTCTTCTTGTCCTTGAAAGGGTTCTCAGAAGCGGGTATGCCCATTAGCAACGGATCTTTCTTGGCGTGTTCTTCACAGTAGAGCATTAGGTCTGCTGATGCTTTTGACACCTGCAGAACACAGGGAAAAAAAAAACCCATAAAATGGTGTTTCCCCATAACTGGTAACACGATCAAATGTGCTGAGAGCTGCTGATGGGTACAAAGTCCCTGCACAGGATGGGAGAGGTGCTCGGAGATCAACACACTCTCTGGGGCTTGGTCTCCTGCAAAGACACGCTGCCACTAGCTCGCTCCAGCTTTATCTGCAGGGAGGAGAAAAGGATGGACCCCGGTGCTCTTCGGGGTTAGTTTGTGACACCAGGCAAAAGCACCGCTCAGCTCCTACACGGCTTCTACAGAAGACTAAAAATACACAGGAGAAGGTTCAAAATAGTATAGTAGGTTTGTAATGAGGAACTTCTCATCTATAAAGTTGGGGATAGTAAACAGAAGTGTCCTCAGATGACTAGTTTTAGGAACGCTGTGCAGGGTCCCTCCTTGCACAGCCCTGCTCCTGACCCCCATCACCTGGGGAAGGGCACTGCTGTGCTGTGAATCTGGACGTTTGTTCTGCTGGCCTTCAAAAGGGGCTGGGCAGCAATTCAAGCAGCCTGACAAAATCCAATAAGGCGATATTACTAGTGTAGCCAATATCCTATCCCTGCTAGCTGGAAAAAAAGTTTGGTTTCTTTGCTGCCTTAAGTTAAAGGAATCCAGTTTCTGCTACCTTCTTTTTTTTTTATATAATGTCCCTACACATTCAACTTCCTTGCAGACGTAGCATTCAGCCAGCAGAAGGATGGAACAAAATCACACAATATGCATGCAACTGAAAACTCATACCTGCCTTCTGTTTCAGACATTTGATTTGCACTTCATATTTTGCTTTGGTTCTCCTACAAGTCCATAAAGCACCGAGCTACCTGAGGATACTGCTAGTAAGCGGCCACAAGAATTAGGTTTATTCAGATTTGTTGGGCTGAAATGTAAACATGTTTTGAGATAGGGGGGGGAAGAACTGTGGGCACACGCATCCACATACACACTCCCTTATCTTATCACCCTATAGCTGGAAGGGGGAAAAAAAAAACCAGGGAAAAAAAAGGAGGAGTGAGGAAGGACGTGCTCTCACCTTTATTCTTTCTATTGAGGCTTCTGTTCTTAACTGCTGGACAGTCCTTCGGGCTTGGGCTATGTTGTTGGTTGTGCTAGCCGTTTTGCCAGACATTTTCAGTGAAGCGGTGAAGCTCTGTTTGGAAAGACAGCGGGTTATTTTTCCAGAAGGTGGCACAGCATGTTAAACTGCTTTTACACAGAGGCAACCGTGACACACTGCAAAAAGTGCATTTTTTAATTTATTATTTCACACAACAGGACTGGTCAGCTGAGAAGCAGCTCAGCAAATGATGCTCTGCAACCAAAACACCCTCCAGAAAAAATGCATTGAGCTTTTGTGCATCCTATTGCTTCACTCTTCCCTGCATCAATAGGCGATATGGGTTTATTGACTTGGGCTTCTCCCAAGCCGGAGGGCGGCCAGCACCACACCATGCGCCCACCCCTACGCCTGCTATTTGCACAGGGGCTGGATGCAACATGGTCAATCTCTGCACCAGCCACTGCCCTGCTGTCGGACAGATCCTGCTGTGTGGGAAGGGACAGTCACCCCAGGTGGTGCTGGGAGGGAGGAGAGCTGCTGCCCGTCTGCCCGAGCACTGGGACTGAGGAGCGTCCCCTCCTCTCCCTCTTGCAGACGGAAGAGGATTTCATGGCTGGTTACCGCCCCTTTGCCGAGACTGCTGCAGCGGGGAGGACGGGCAGAGGCACAGCCACCTCGGCCACGCCAGCCCGGCCTCTCAGCCTCCTTTGCCCTTCTCTGGCCAGGCTGTGTTTCAGGTCCGCAGCAGCCCAGCAGCAGCTTTATGACACACCAGAGGAAAAGGAAAACAAGAAGGCAAAGTTCAGAGACGCATTCCCGGCTGCTGTCTGCTCCCATGTGCCCATATACGGGGGAGTGGCGGAAAAAAACCGAGCGGCTCCATGACTTTCCTTCTCCGGGTAACAATGCAAAGCATCAATCCTGACATGGCGCCAGCATTTGGGTGGTGTCCAGCGAGAAGGGAGGACGCTCTCCGGCAGGCTCAGCTGGCCGGTCCAGCAGCAATTCAAGCACAGCTTTTGCAGCTTGACCCCTCACTTGCAGCTACCCCCAGGATGCCCACAAGCTGCACGAAGGCAGCACGTGCCGCCAGCTTACAGGGGAGCCCAGACCGTGCCAGGATGCCACACGCTTCCCTGTGAGTTGGACCGAGGAAGACGACATGCTCCCGACCCAACCAAAGAGCAAGGAGTGAACCACGATCGTACGTGTGCGACCATATCCAGACGAGGAAGACAGCCCGCCTGCCAGCTCTGACTCAAGACCAGGTCCAAGAGGACAGGCAGCACCAGTAAACAGTTAAGGTGCTGGCACTGCTGTCCTTGAGCAGCTTTACTGCAGGTGCTCTGCAACAAAGACCCGAATGAGGTTCCTTCATCAAATCCACAAAAGTATGCTTAGTTGCACACTGTAAGTCAGCAGTCCACTAGCATTTACTCCACTCGGGATTTAGAGATCTTAATCTCCTGATGGTCCCAAAAAACCTCAGCTTCTTCAGCTGTACATAACTCATATGGCATGCTCAAGCCCGCCCTGGCTTATTGAACCATCACAAGTTCTCCCTTTGCATGTGCCACACTGAAGGCCACCTTGCCCCATCTCCCTGCAGCACCCTTCCTGCTGCATGCCCCTGTCATCCCCGGACATTTCTTATGCTGTGTAGCCATCCAACTGCTGCTGCTAGAAGGAAGCTACCCATGCACGGAGCAGCAGGAGCAGGGAAGGGCTGAGGACCATGCAGCATCATGTTCAAAAGAATATCCCTACGGGCATCGCAGCAGTAAAGAGCTTATTGCTAAATTATTCATGTACCCAAGAGTTCAAAGAGCAGCTGGTTTAGGACAACCCTAGCCTGTGAAACTGTCCTTTCTGTGCCAATCCTTGCATGCAATCTCTAGCAGGACTGTGCACAAACCCTGCCGTTCGTTTTCCACAGAGCCACGAGAATAATTGGCTGCATGGTGCTGTGCTTAAATCATTTATTGCATTACAGGGACTCGAGTCCAATGTAGCTGCATGTGACCTTTCCAAGCACTGCATACAGCGTTTCCTTGTAGGTTTCAGGTTTCTCAGGCCTCAGCCTGGGTAGCAGCGCTGTTTTTCCAGCCAATGCTCATGCCTGCCCAGCTAGCTGGGAACTGCATCATTTTGCACCAAGTCCCCATTTTGGCACATGCCATCATTTCTAGGCTTGCTCAGCAGGGCCCAGACTTCCAAAATTTTTCTCTCCCTCTGCAGAAACCAGCCCTAGGTTTGAAGTTCACCCCCAATGCCTGTCAGGCCAATACAGCCCTCACCGGCAGAGCACACCCACGGTAGACGTGGGATGCCCACAAACCACTGCCACACACCCCCAGCTCTCCTCCGACAGCAGCGCAGGCACCCATGGACGCTTTGTGCTGGCTGGGAACTGTGCACAGCCAGCAGCAAGCACCCCCTGCATGGCATCCTCAGCGTTTTCTGTTAGGAGCGATCCACTGACCCGCGCTCCTGTGGCACCGAGCGCGCTCAGCTTCCTCCCTCTGCAGCCCTGTGATCTACCGGTGAGAAGTACCCCAAGTAGCGTGCTAACTGGTATTTCATGCTTTACAGCTCACGGCTGACTTCTGCTGCTCTTCTATCATCCCAGCAGTGAATTGCAAATGAAGCAACCTGCTGTTTTTCCCAGCTACATCCGCACCGGTAATGGCGAAGCCCAGCAAGAGCAGGATCACGCTGCACACAGCGAGCGGCACTGCAGAGCAGAGCGAACGCCAGCAGCGCTCAGCGGCGAGCTGCAACGAAAGCAGCACGGGGATGCTGCCTTAGCTGGGGAACAGCCAGCAGTGGGACACGGGGAGACCTTCCTTGCAATGGCTTTGGGCAGAGTAATTGCCAAGCAACAGGTAAACACCTCCTGCTCATGTGCAGGTAGGAGGGACATTCATAATTGACATTAGGTATCGCTAAAAACTTATTTCCTGCAACAAATATTAAGAACATACTCATGAATCTCTCCAATCTGCACGAATCTGAGTGGCTATATAACAGCCCCCTATTTAGCTCACTGGCCTGCTTTCCCAGTAACTGCATCCAGGAGCAGGAGACAAGCATGAAAACCCAGAACTAGTTTAAATGCTGCATATACTCCAAATAACTGATTTCAGGGCAAATCACAGAAGGTGTTTTGTAATTTTAGAACCTTTAAACGTGTGCCAGTTCAGAGATCACAGCTCTGAGCAAGCGCCCTCCAGCAGGCGAGGCACAGGCCATTTTGGGCTGTTCAGACACAGGCCATTTTGGGGACAGGCTGCGTCTGAAGCGTCTACCTTCCACTCCTCTAAATATTTCCACCCAGGGTTTCTGTATGCAGCTACCACAAGTAAAGCTGCAGCAAAGTTAAGGAAATTTGAGCAGAGCACAGAGGCCAGGGAAGCCGGGCTGGCAGCACACACTGGCCACTGACTCATCCCAGCTGTGCAGGAGAACAGCCTGTAAACCGTGGTTGCTTCACCTCCGCAATAGCTGGGTCAGTAACCCAAGCCTCGGTCTGTGGCAGTCATCCACTGCCCCAGTTCCCCACAAGACCCTCATTACCCCAAAATTTCTCCAAAGTTCCCGCTGTGTTCCAGAGAGGTCACCTACAGACCGAGTTGCACATGATTCACGGCTTACCACCCATGGAAGGTAATTAATGCAAAATTTTAAAAAGCCAGCAGGATTTTTCCTCTGCAAAGCAGCGTTCCCTCTATGGCACTATCTTAACCGAAGACACAGGCACTCATCCTCCCTTGGCACCTAGCACCCTGCTGCTCCATAGTGCTGCATTCAGAGTGGCATGAAGGAAATGAGCCAGGACTGTCTGCACGAAAGCAGCTCGTCCTCCAGCCCTGCAAGCCTCTTTCAGCCCTCATTTAATCCACACACGATGAGGCAGGAGGTGACAAAGCCAACCGTGAGTCAACGCAGGGCAGCTGAGACACAGCTGTGACCATGCAGGGCCAGGCAGCACTGGGAGCACCAGGTGTGAGTGAGCCCATGGACCCCGCTCCCAGGAACAGGTGCTGGTTTTGCTGGAGTGGGGCTGCCATCTCCCAGCACTGCCGGCTACTGGGCACAGCTGCGGGTACAGAGTTTTGGGAGCAGTGCTTGCTCTAGGGAGGTGTGAAGTCTTTGCATGCTTTGGCTGTGAGGAGGAGAGTTAGAGATGCATGGGTATCTGAAATACCCTCTGTATCAACATCACGACACAAACTCGCAGTTACTAAGCCAGATCCACCATATTACAGTCGAGTTACTGCTAATCACAGAGCTGTAACATCCCACAGCAAGTACACAGTGTATGTGTCCTGAATTACTAATAGTGGTAGCACCCAAATATTAAAATGCATTTTGACGGCACATTTAGTGATTCAATCTGCAAACTACTCAAGAGAAGGAGTGCTGACTGACACAGCATAAACATATTTGTCTGGCAATAGTTGTACATCTGATTGTAAAGGTTTAATAGTCAGATGTTTTGCTTTATTGCTAGGAAAGGGCAAGCTACTTGGAGCATGTTTCTCGTTGTAAGTGATTATGAGAGGTGTACATTGAATGCATGTCATATTATTTGTAAAATATAAAGTGAAAACTCTGGAATTCAAGGCAAAGGCTGTGGTGCATTAACCACCTCCAACATAAGCCCTGCAGTGCTGTGACACAGACAAGATCTTTCCAGTTCAAGTCAGTGATGGCCAGCTCAACAAGCCAGGGAGGCTTACACCTCCGGGTAATGCTGGGCAATGCAGAAACACATTGTGGGCTTCACCTCAAATACAAAAGCAGATTTTTATAAAATCAGGAGAATTACCTCACATCCCAAGGAGCGGGCCATGTTTTAGCTGATGTGAAATGGCAGGGTCAGGACCACATCCAGGGCTTGGTGCCACAGAGCAGGGGACATGATGGCTGCGGGGGAGCCCCCATCTCTTCCAGCACTGCTGCAGGTCCTGCTGGCCCTGGGAGCACGGGCTGCTTTGCAGCAGACCCGCATGCAGATCCTGACCTCTACCAGCCACTCACCAGAGGCAGCGAGAAGGACCAAGTTGGAGCTCCCATGACTCTTGACG